GAAACAACAATGCACGTATTCATTCACGGGTCCCCAATTATTGTTTAGTGATAAACTGGAAGATGTCAAATAAAACACTATTGCACTGGGGCATACTTTTTTAATAGAAAAAGTTAACAATCTATCAATAAACAAATAAACTCCAGAAAAAGGTTATTCGTAAAATCATTTTAAAGTAGTTATTAAAACAATTAAAAACTTAAACTGTCGAATGCAATCATCTCCTCCTGAGGGTGGGCGTCACCGGGGAAAACGGAGTATCGGGATGAGGTCTCAGACTCTGCAACAACCGCTATGGCAAAATATCCACTCCTTAAGTACCGGACAGCAGGATGTTTGCCGTGGTTATCGGTTCTATTCATCTGCAAGTATCCTTCCGAGCAGGAACGTGGTGCTGTTTGGTCTTCCTACATTCGGCCTTCGACCTAAACCTCGATCCCTCCACCCCGGACTTCCACGGTTCCCTAGCCGTCACAGTTAACAATATGTTGTTGCTGTAGTTCATTTACGTCGCACTAGAGCTGCACAATGGGCCAATGGCGACGGTCTGGGAAGCATCCCTGAAGATGATCCGAAGACATTCCATCACAATTTTGATCGTCTGCAGCAGTTTTGATCCTCTGTAGGATGGTAGCCCCGACGACCTGCACGCGAAGTCGAGCACTTTACAATAGAACAGTTTAACGAGAACCAATACCGCATACCTTCGGTCCCTACGCAGACTGATCCAAGTTGTAGTTCATTTACGTCGCACTAGAGCTGCACAATGGGCTATCGGCAACGGTCTGGGAAACATCCCTGAGGATGATCCGAACCCTTACGAAAATTTAAGGTATATTTAAGGTTGATTTGAGGTATTTTTGAGGTATTAAGGTTGATTTGAGGTATATTTGAGGTATATTTAAGGTTGCTGAGAAAACAGCAATAAAAATTATATCTCGTAAAGGTTGTAATTAAGGTGTACAAGGTTGTTTTATATATACTTCAGCTTATTTTGAGGTTGTTTCAAATCAACTTCAAATCAACCAGGCTGTTAGGCGATTTTCAAGGTATACCAGGTTGATTTTCTGACACTTGCAAGAAAAGAGGTATTTTTGTGGTATAAAATTTTTTTACCTTATTTCAACTAAAGAGAGTGAGGTATTTATTGAAGTATATGAAGTCATTTTATTTATACCTAAGCTTGTTTTAAGGTTGTTTAAAGTACACTTCATATTAAGTAGCTCACTTCCCAGAGTTCCATGCGAGCCGGCAAATGGCGTGTGTGTTGACAATCGAAAGTCTATTCGAAATTCTGTAAGTGTGCTTGACATTTATTAATTTAGTTTTATCACTTTTAATCAAATATGCTTCAATTTTCAAACTTAAATTTTATTATTTTTGTTTTAAAGACACGTCCTGATCTTAAATAATTTAAGTTGGAGGATATTCTTAGAGGTTATCATTGTAGGCTTAGCAATAAGAGAGAACAATATAAATATTTCTCATCGCTGTTAAGGGTAACGTTACTGGTGAATCATTACAGCAGGTTATACACAGTATATTTTATTTTGTTTAAATGTATATGTTTTAACGTAACAGTATGCAAGCTGATTAATTGAGTAAAATGTTCATAATTTCTCTTATAAATAAATCATTGAAAATTGAAAAAATTTTTAAATAGCAATTTGCTTTGAAATTTTACTATAGCTGTATGATTATCGCTCGGATATCTGTTGCAAAGTTTATATTGTTTATATATACAATATAAACTTATATATATANTCTCCTTTCCTTTCTGTCTTTAGTGTGCTATATATATATATATATTTATTTATTTATTTATTTATTTATTTACAGGGCTTATACACAGTTCCCTGATATTGCTGAGATGACCTAGGCTGTAAATAGCACATGCGCAGCGGCACAGAAGAAGAGACTAGCAAGCTACTGCTCACCCTTCCCCTAGGAAATAGATCTAAATTTATACCTAAAAGAAAACGTAAACTACAGAATTTATGTAATTGTATATAACAATAGTTTGCTAGATATTTGATAATTGAAAACTAGTAACTGTAATAGCTCACTTCTTCATGTTTGATCAAAAAACTGCTATTTTCACTACATGTTATTTTTTCGCAATTTACCCACGTTAATTATTTACTATGTAGATTGTTATTACTTATTAGAATATTGAGCAGAATTAAATTAAATCCGATTTCAAGTTTATATGACAATTAGTTTCAAGTTTGCGAGCATTTTTATGCAGCTGTTTATGACTTCAAAAATTTGCGAATTTCGGAAATCTTAAATTTTTTAGAAATAAGTCAGTATTGTGCAATTTTAATCCTGAATTGAATAAAATCAATTGCAAATAAAAACATTTATTGTTGAAAGTAATATGCATTTTTTGGAATTTCATCCAATGGGATGTGTATTTTTATTTAAACAAGTGTTTGTAACAACTAACTATTAATCTTATTCTGCTCGGTGTTATAAGTTATATAGAAGATATTATTCTCAACTTATTTTAAAAGTATTATTTCAAATCATTCTCTCTCAGACATTTTCTTCACATAAAAATGACTCACAATTTTAAAACAAATGCTCCTTATCAGCTTGTAATCTGTTCCATTCGATTGAGTGTAAAATAAGAATAAAAATTGGCACATAACATTAAATGTTTAATTTATTAAACGATTGTTGATTCTTGATTATATTGATTAAAAAATATTAAAATAACTATTTTTTAAGAAACTCTGATGTGATTGACAAAAACGTAAGTCCTTCTCAGAATCAGCGTCAAAAATTTGAAAAAAGCTATTAGATTCATGAAGTCTGACAAAAAGTTTAAAAATATTGACTTGGTTTATAAAGTTTAAAGATTTGTAAAAAAACAAAGAAAGAAAATCTAATTATCAAACTTACAAGTTAATGTTACCAGATGTACAGAAAAATAAGAAGTGCTAAGATTTACTAATTTGTATTTTTTTTTTCCTTTTAGGTTCCAATAATTACAAGTTTCAACATGTAGACGGAAACAGTATTTAAAATAATTTGTTGGTTTGTAAAAAAAATGAAATTTTAGTTTTAAATAAAAGTAATTTGATTTTCAGCTGACTAATTATTTAAATTTGTAGTTTTATAGCTTTAAAAATTCAAGCACCTTAAACAACTATCTTCTAAAAATACGAGTATGAGTCCCCATAAATAATTTTTACTAACTGTAGAAAGTGTTATTTTAAGATGATTTAATTCACTCTATTAAAATTATAGAAGAATTATGCATTTGAAACTTTCTTTTACAGCTTAACAAAAGAAGCAATTACTGCCGAAGGTTTAATATTAAAAACTTCAGGTTGATAAATGATCTCTACTAGTGAAAAAAATGTAATGATACACATTATTCTTCATATAATATATATAATATCCTTATATATATTATATTTTTTGTATAGTGAGGTTAAAAATTAATAAACTAGGTGGTCCGTATAACACCTCACCTTCGTAAGTACTAAAAAAAAGACAGCTTTGGGTTGAGCTACATAAGCCTGAAGTGCAAAATGTCACATCGTTGGTTGATAAATTAATACTTCACAAAATACAAAAGTATAAACTTCAGGTTACGAAATAATAACTTAAGGCAGAACATGGAACACATGGCGTTAATAAAAAATAACCTTTCCAAGTGTTGAAAATACACTTCAGGTTGATTTATTACAACCAGAAGTGTAAAATGGCACACCTTAGATTGAAAAATAATTACCTGAGGTGGAACAAAATACACCTGAGGGTGATTTATAATAACCTGAAGTGTAAAATGACACATCATAGGATGAAAAATATATACCTCTACAACCGTAAAATTAGATACCTGAGGTTGAAAAATAATTACCTGAAGTCGAACAAAATACACCTGAGGTTGATTTATAATAACCAGAAGTGTAAAATGACACACCTTAGGTTGTTGAATAAATACTTCCACAAGTGTAAAAAAATATACTTCAGGATGATAAGTAATAGCTTAAGGTTGAAAATGAAACACTTTAAAGTAGTAAATATCTACCTCTCCACAGATATAAATTTAAACACCTCAGGTTGAAACATGTATACCTCTGGAAGTATATTTAAGGTATATTTGAGGTTGATTTTGAGGTATTCTTTTGCACCCTTTTCAACCTTAACGACGTATTTAAATAACAACCACCTTTATACCTTCAAAATATACCTCGTTTATACCTCATTTATACCTCGATTTTTTCATAAGGGAAGACATGCCATCACAATTTTGATTCTCTGTTGAGGGGATGGCACCCCTACTTTGGTAGCCCGACAACCTGCACTCGAACTCGAGCACTTTATGGTACAGTTTAACGGGGACTAATACCGCACACCCTCGGTCCCTACGCAGACAGATCCAAGTGGTCACCCACCCGCACACTGACCGCAGTCAGTGATGCTTGACTTCGGTGATCTGCTGGGAACCGTGTCTTAACGATCAGTCCACTGCGGGACNAGAGGGAACTCTTAGTAGTTGCTATTGGTTTATGAAATAGATCGAACGTTTCCCACACAAGAGCAAAGGGAAAAATGTCCTGCTCTTAATTAAATGCATACTTGAGCCAAAAATAGATTTAAGAACAGGATGTGGCTTTTAAAAGTGTGAGAAAGTATTTCAAATAGAATAATTAATTAGGATGAAGTTTTATAGCAAAGAAACTAACATAAAAAGATTAATTGAAGCTTTTTATGTTACATATATATACATCGAAATTGATCACTTATGGAAATTTCCTGAGTGCAAAATGATTCTGATCATTATTAATTTAGAAAAATCTTAAAAAAAGTGAAGTGGAAGTGAAACTCGAATAACATTTCTACAAATCAGAGACTCGTATTCTAAAAATATTGCACTGTTGCATTAAATAATTCAATTTTCAGTAATCATAATTTTCCTATTATTAGTCAAGGAATATCGAAATATCATAATTGATTGTTTACTTGTTATCTCAGCAAACAGGTTTGCGAAGAGATAGTAAGCAACCTTTACACAATTTGTGATAAAAACAACTTATTCTTGTTACCAGACTAAAAATAGTTTCCACGCGTTTTGTGAAATGACGGGGACAGCTTTCTCATTTTTTGATATAATTCTGATTCTATTAATTTTAATTTCTGCATTTTATTTCTTTAATAAATATGTTGAGCAGCGCTATGTTAAACTTCCACCAGGACCAGTTGGACTACCATTGGTGGGATATTTGCCATTTCTGGGAGATTTGCCTTTTAAAGCATTCAAAGAACTCAGTTTAAAATATGGAAATATTTTTGGGTAAGTCATTGATTTTATATTATAAAATATCAAATCTCTTGTCTGGTGTTACTGATGAGTAGCGTGCAGGTAAGACCTGGATAACTTCTCTATTGAATGCCCTCGAAACAAGGAATATAATTTCTGAAATATCCTGTATCATTGGGAAAATACATAATTAAAAAAAGCTTAATCCCTATTTTATTAAAAAGAAACTTAACGCCACGGTAAAAGATAATTATCTCCAACAGTATAAACTTTATAATTTTTCCTCTTTAACTTAGAAAATATTTAAACTTTAAAATGTTTATTTCTCTCTATTAAGTCAACTCAACTTCGTAATACTTTTATTCAAAATCATATTAAATTTTCTTTAAAATGTATTCCTGGAGCCAAGCTTTTAATTGTAAAAAAGTGTAATTTAATAATCAAAATAAAAGTAATTGATTTAAACTTAATCAGCTCTTTAGTCAACTCAGTTTCGTAATACTTTTCTTTAAAAATCAGACTATATTTCCCTTAAAAATATTCACAATGGAAGACGAATCATGGATTAGAATACCCTTGCTATCGGGCTAACCGTGTACAGTTTCAGTGGTTTTTCCTCTCCTTGTAACTCAAGCGCGGATTAGTTCCCTCAAAAAGTCCTCCACGAAAGCTAGTTTATCCCAATGCTTGATCCAAGAGTTCCCTTATCTTCTGGATTGGGTTCAAAATTACAAAGATAAGGCTTAGGATATAAATCGGAATTAAAAATCATAAGATTTAATTTAAGAATATGATGAAAGGTGATGGGGTTTCTAAAACCGCCCTTCAACTACTATTTGCTTTCTGTAACAGTCCAACTTTTCTCAAAAGAGATTCATTAGATTTCGAAGGCGATTTTTTCTCTTGCTTAAATATTAATGTGGAATCTTGAATGGGTATACTTTGTTTACTAGAATTCCGTAAGCTATTATAATGAAAAGGATTGCAAAATTTATACTAAAGCTAGTAATTTTGGAGCACTTATTGATTTGAAAACCATATTGAGATTTCAAAAATCAACTGTTTATATGATCAAATCGCTGCTTCAAAACTAAAAAGACGCATCTGCAGGTATAATACATTTGCAGATCTGTCGTTTTAGTTTTAAACCAGCGAAATGAAGGTCATTTGTTTCCTCTCATTATAAATTTAATATTTTATTGCATTAAAGACTTTTTTTGTCTATATTTTGTGTGGACTTCGTAGTCTTGTCGAAGCTAGAATACCTAATTTTAAGATTCGGATATACAGTTCTTAAATTTTAAACAACTAGTTGTCGTTTGTAAACGCCCGAAACTACTAACGCAGTTAGTTCACTTCAGATAGCGAAACAATCTGAGCTTGATCTACTTGACTATCTGAAAAAATCTGAAAAAGAAATATAATTTCAGCAAACGATTTTTTACTGTGTTTTTGTTTGATATTATTCGCGATCGCAACGCTCGAGTACGCCGTCTAGCGGGAGCCTGTAAATATCGGACATTAATTTATCACGTTTTCATTTAGATCCATCAAAGTCATTGACTGAATCAGACGCCATTTTTTAGCAGCAAATAAGAAACAAAATTTCCCTAAGGAAAAGGCCGAAGAACTTGAAAAAAATCTACAGAATATTAGTAAATCTTTCAGAAACAGAACACGCCAAACATTTGAAGAAACATTGATCAATAATTTTTTATTTCTATTATCAACAAACTTACAACTGATGACTTCCGATTTCGGATACTGTTACAGATGTGTGTATTAAGGTGAAATGCATTTCTTCTGTTTAACAGTTTGAGCAAATTAAAGTGAAGTCAACATTGCTTTCGTCATTCCAGTGAATAAATATGAATTCAGAACATACAGAATTGTAATAGTTATAGCATATTCTTCTTCGTTATAGAATAGTATATATTTCTGTATCCATATAATTCGGAAAACAACAATAAAAA